TATATATATATATATATATATATATATATATATATATATATATATATATATATATATATATATATATTTGATCTCCAAGAAATGGTCATTTTTTCTTGCATAGTTGTTAATTAGTGACACGGTACTTATGAAGATTAAACAATTCTCTTAATTCTCTTCATTTGTTTAATGTGACAGGGGTTCATTTTCAATATTGGTTTAGGGTTTGGATATAATATATAGTCAAAATGAGAAAACATACTACAATCAAATGTGTGTAGGTTTGAAATATTCACATAATCTTTTTTGATTAAGTAAAGGGGAACAGTTAAGAATATCTTACTAAATACTCCCTCTGTCCCATATTATATGTCTTTTTAGAGAGTTTTTTTTTGTCCCAAATTATTTGTCATTTTACATTTTCAATGAAGCATTAATTGCATTATTTTCAATTTTACCCTTAATCACTCCTAATTTATTAGTTGAGAATCAATTAATGTTGATGATATTATAGTAATTTTATCTATTTTTTTACTATGATCTATGCACATTTATTGATTTTCTTAATATGAGCAAAACAACCCAAAACGACATTTAAATTGGGACAGAGGCAGTATTGTCTATTCTTTTTTTCTTTTTTCTTTTTAGGTGATAAGACTCGTTAAATATCTTGTATTTCTTAAAGAATTCTTCTGGCTACTTGTTCTTCATCACTCTAATAAATAACCCGTAAGGCCGTACTCTAATCGATCTAGAAACAAAATAATTTCTTTTCGGGGTGGTTTAAACATTATTACACTTTTGACCGTACCCGCAATGATCTTGAAAATCCTGAGAATATTTGTTTACAAAAAAAAGCGTTTGCCTATTTTTACTTCAAGTTTTCTTAATTCATATATTTTCTCTACATTTCGGATTGAATTAAGGTTTTCATTATTTTTATGGTTTTTAGCCAATTAATTTGAAACCAACTTGGATGCCACGATGCAATTTTGTGCCATGCTGGCTTAATTAGGGTGAAATTAACATCTACTTTTTCCAGCGGCTCATCAGCAAAATTTTGCTGACATTAAATCAATTTTGACTAATCATTAGACATAACTAGCGTCTCAACCATGTGTATGTGTGCTTAGTGGAAATTATTTCACAACATCAACAGTTAATACTTATCCTATGTATTTCACCAAATGTAGCATCTCAAAGACTGCCTAGTGGGGATACCGCATGTCTTGTAGGGCTTACATGGCGACTGAGGTGGTTTGGCCTACTTGTAAATCTAGTACCTATTTCAAAATTTTGATTTCATCATTTACCTTGCAAAGCCTATAACTTTCATCTCACATATAGAAAATTAGGGAAAATTACAGTTTATGTCCCTAAACTTTAGCACTAAAACGATTTATGTCCTCAAACTTTTTCACCCACGAAATATGTCCTCAAACTTACTACTTTTTACAAATTTATGTTCTGCCGTCAACTCCGTCAGTTAACTTGGACGTAAATATCACGTGTGGCGCACGTGATGTCAATCTGACCGTTAAATGCTGATATGGCGAACACACTGAGATGATGTGGCCGAAAAAATTACATGGAGTGACATGTGGTTCTCTCCCTTGATTTCAATTTTAAAATCCCCAATTTATCATTAAAATCCCCAATTTCTCATTCCCCCTATTTCATTGAACCGAATGCAGAAACCATACCCTCTAAATTCCTCGTACGAAGCACCGAATTGAGGTGAAATTCCACAACAATAAGATTGCCCAACCATAACTTCGCAAATTTCAAACATTTGTTGAGTTAGAACATCACAACGGAGCAACAATTTTCAATTTTGGTAAGTTTCTTCAAAGTAGATATCTTTGAACTTTGAGATGGAGATCTGGGAGGTGGTAATTTCAATTTCAATCAAATTGTATGTTGTAGTGTAGAATATGAGGGTTGGGTTTCTGCATTCGGTTCAATGAAATAGGGGGAATGTGAAATTGAGGATTTTAATGACAAATATAATTTGAAATTTTATAATTGAGATAGAGGGAGAGAACCACATGTCACTCCATGTCATTTTTTGGGCCACATCATCATAGTATGTCGGTCATATCAGCATTTAACGGCCAGATGATATCACGTGCATCACACGTTATATTTCCGTCCAAGTTAACTGACGAAGTTGATTGCGGAACAAAAATTGTAAAAAAGTGCTAAGTTTGAGGATATATTTCGTGGATGAAAAAGTTTGAGGACATAAATCGTTTTAGTGGTAAAGTTTAGGGACATAAACTGTAATTTTCCCTAGAAAGTTATGATGTTATATATACTTCTGTGATCATCTAAAATTATAATGATTAAAATTGGGATTATTTTCATATATATGTATATTCAATAAAATTTACATTTTCACAAAAATATCTTAACGTTGTAACAATAAACTAACTCCAGGTCAGTTGCTAGTGAATAAAGATAATCATACATAAACTATAGTTAAATCTCAATTTCATTTATTCAGACAAATGAAGTACATACACACAAAGATTACATAATTAAACACTACTATTGTTTTATTTAAGACAATATATATATAACTTATTAGCTTAATTAACAATATTTTTATGATGATAACCTCTTTATTTAATCGATGTTCCACCAGAACTGTGCTTGAAGATAGTCGATCACGTTCTTCTTGACTTGGAATGCCTTTGTCAGAACTGCTGGATTAATTGGTGGATCCGACCCAAATACTGTGTTGGCAATAGTAATGACACCTGGATTTTGGCTACTTAAAGCAGCAAAAGCGACAGCATTGGTTTTTCCCACGTTGAATTGGAAGTGTATCAAACCCTCTGGAAAGACGAAAACATCCCCTGGGTACAAATACTTTGTGAAGAGCTTGTTTTTCAAGGCGGGATTAGCTGGATTTGAAGTGACAAAGCCAACATAAAGAGTGCCTTCCATCACAACTAGAATCTCAGTGGCACGCGGGTGAGTGTGGGGCGGGTTCAAACCGTTTGGTGCATAGTCTATACGAACAGCAGAAATGCCCAAAGTGTTGAGACCTGGAATTTGGTTTACGTTAACAGGAGTGACTCTTGATCCAACAGGATTAGAAGTATTTCCAGACTTGTTTAAACCCGGAAAAAAGAAATTTTCGGCCACAACCATATCAGGGTTCTTGCAGACCTTCCCATTCACAAAAACTATACATGCAAAAAAGATGTCGAAGTTGTTATTTGATGATTGTTTAATATAAGGCAAATAATGTACAAATATAATTAGTTAGATGTTGAAATTAATTACCAGCTGCATCGGCATCTTTAACGGCAACACAAAAATCTTGGAGAGGGCTGGGATCTGATGCATATGCAAATGTAGCCAAACAAGCAATAAAAAATAATGTTGTGAGGGAGACAAGAGCCATCTTCATTTTTGATAATAACAGATATTGTTTATAAGTTTGTGTTATGAGGTTATAAGTTTGCATAGAAATTGTGCCTATTTATAGATAAATTGATGTGAAATAGTCATCTCCGTTTTCTTACAATTACAATTATTTTACTAAGAGTTGAAAAGTCTCCAACCAGCTTGCTAAGTATATGTTGAAAGGGGGTTTAACAACTAAAGCTACTTCATGATTATTTTTTTCTATGGAAATGGTCATTTTCTTCTTGCGTGTAATTAATGTTAATCATTTGACATATTCATAGATGGTTTAATTATAACTCCAATTCAATGCCGAGTCTTATGTTTCGGTTAAAACCTACCATTGACCAAACACCTTTATATGTTCTCGACGTACGAAAAAACAAAGATCGAATATAGTCAAGTTTGATATATTGGTTTAATTTTTTATATAAACTTTGGAGGAGCTAGAGATCGTCGAGATATAGGAAATATGCAACTGCTCGTTGACGTCAGTTAAAATATATACGAAAAAAAGAAGATTTATTTTTCGTATTGTAACTGTGAGCATCGATGAATTGGCCAACATTCCAAAGATTTTATGTTCTCTTTAAGTTGCACGACAAAAAAACAATGTATGTTATATATGTTTTCGGCCGTATCTAATCTTGATGGCTCACGTTAACACGTAATATTGCAATCTAGATATTGCAATCTTAAGGTCTACTAGTTTATTAAAATTCAATTATATTTTTGATATTACAATTTCTTCTTATTTGTCAAATTCGCTAACAAAAAATGTTTTGTTATGTACAAAGAGTATACTGGTTTTATTGATTTGGCGTATATATGGGAAACAAAGAGAGGAGAGAATAAGGGTAAAATGAGATTATCAGAATTTGAGGGGTATGCCAAATGTAAATATAAACATAGGCCTCAAATATTTTATGTTCATATGCTAAATTGCTTGAAGACAAGTTTAAAGGCTTGGAATTTTCAAAATAAGTTGTTGAATATATACATTTAAGGGTAAATTCTACTTTTCCCACTTCTACACTTAATTGCATCAATTTGCTCCATGTACTTGAAAAATTGTCTCATTGTGGCCTGCACCGTTATTTTTCTGACATTTGACCTTAACACCGTTTGATCTAAGTCAAAAATTACAAAAAAGCCGCCCCTCCCTGTTTAAATAATTATTAAAAAAAATAATAATAAAAAATAAAACAATTAAAAATTCAAGAAAATGACATTGGAGATTTTAGCCTGATCAATGATGGAGCAGGCGTCCCTAATAGTGCATGCTTTCTGCAACTAGGGCATCCATGCATACGTGAAGTATGTTATTTTAACGTTGCTTTTAAAATTTCTTATTATATACTAAATTTCTTTAATTTATTTGTGAATGCTCTTTCCACTCTTATGTAAGATGAGTCTGCAGTCAATGTGATCCCTCTCAGATCAAATGCAAATTATATATTCATGGGATTACAATTAACTTCATTGTAGGATTTACCATTCAACTCATAAATTTGTTTCGATTTTTCAGCTTTTCAATTTTCATCATTAGAAAATTTGAATATATAAAACTTTTGCAACTTATTGCTAATTACGAAAAACCCTACCCTATATATCAAAATGACCCCTAATCCTTTTAAGCACCCACAATTCATACTTTTACCCATGACTTACCCAAATTGAGTTAAGTTGATTTACGAGAGTACTCTATGCTTATAAATTATAACCAAATTGATTTTCTATTTTTCGTTTTGTTATATTACATTTTTCCATTATTTTGGTTTCTCATTCTATATAGGAAACATCTAATAGGCTTTTTTCAACAATTTTTTTGACTTAGTTTGGATTATATATATTTGATTTGGGATTATTTGGGGTTCTCAATCTATTTATTATTTTGGATTAGTTTTGGTTCTCATCTATATTATTATGTCATCTCTAAATTTAAAGATTAATTCAAGTCTATAAATATTGACTTATTTTATGAATTTTTTTTTTTGGGTTTTGGTTTGTGTCCAGGTGAAGTAACACTCTAGCCCAATTGCAATCGAATAAAGATAAGACGATCATAAACGAGTAAACATAATTAAATACTTATAGCCGTTGTTTATTCAGACATGAAGTGCACAGTACACAACCAATACTATAGCTTTATTTAAGACAATAATTTGTCATATATATATATATATATATATATATATATATATATATATATATATATATATATATATATATATATATATATATATATATATATATATATATATATATATATATATATATATATATATATATATATATATATATATATATATATATATATATATATATATATATATATATATATATATTATCAACAACTTCTTACAATAATCGACTTATGTGTTTAATCGATGTTCCACCAGAATTGCGCTTGTAGATACTCAATCACATCCTTCTCAACCTGGAACGCCTTTGTCAGGACAGCTGGGTCAATTGGAGGATCCGAACCAAACACTGCATTAGCAATAGTAATGACACCTGGATTTTGGCTGCTCAGACCAGCAAATGCTACAGCATTGGTCTTTCCAACATTAAACTGGAAATGAATCAAACCCTGTGGAAAGACGAAAACGTCCCCAGGGTGCAAATACGTTGCGAAGAGCTTGTTTTTCAAGGCAGGGTCAGCTGGATTTGAAGTGACGAATCCAACATAAAGAGTGCCTTTTAACAAAATAAGAATCTCGGTGGCACGTGGGTGTGTATGCGGTGGGTTCAAACCGTTGGGTGCATAGTCTATACGCACAGCAGAAATGCCCAAAGTGTTGAGTCCAGGTAATTGGTTGACAGTAACAGGAGTGACTCTCGATCCAAGTGGATTTGAGGTGTTTCCAGGCTTGTTTAATCCCCGAAAAAGGAAATCTTCGGCCACAACCATATTAGGGTTCTTGCAGATCTTCCCATTCACAAAAACTACGTAAATGCATGAAAAAAAAGATGTCAAAAGTTGTATTATTTTAATGATTATTAATGTAATTAGGCGATAATAATATAATTAAACAAAGTTAAATGGATTTTAGAAATTAATTACCAAAAGCCTCGGTGTCGTTAACAGCAACACAAAAATCTTGGAGAGGGCTGGGATCTGATGCATATCCGAATGTAGCGAAAGACGCAATAGCAAATATTGTTGCGAGGGAGACAAGAGCCATCTTCATAACTCTGACTGCTGTTAAGACTAGTTATATAAATATTTTGATGTTGTGAGGTTATGAGAATATTAGGATTGAAATGGTATCTATTTATAGGGAATACAATGTCAATTAGTAGACAAGTAGTTGTTACATTTATAATAATTAATTGTGTTTTTATTAAGAAGAGTTTATAAAAAGTGTGCAACCATGGATGGTAGTTTTTGTGGATACATATTTGACAGCTAACGAAACCAATTAATATGCATATCAATATTGGTTAAATAAACTTGTCAGTGGAAATTAAATGGTCGTTTTATCCTCACAGCAGTTAATTCATTGAGAATTCTTTTCGACCTTCACCATTTCCAACTAGTTTTCCTGCTTCGGTTAACCAAAAAAAATCATATATCTTTTTTACATTACGTAATTAAACAATATGTGAAATGTTATAATATAGGGTAAAATAGCACTTAACCCCTTGGTTACAAGCTTTTGATCAGATGACCATTTGTACTTGTAATATCAGCACATAACTCCCTTGTGGTTTATAAGGTAGTTTATGTAAGTTTTTTGGGAAAATTACAGTTTATGTCCCTAAACTTTACCACTAAAACGATTTATGTCCTCAAACATTTCAATCCACGAAATATGTCCTCAAACTTGCCACTTTTGATCACTTTATGTTCTGCCGTTAACGTTGGCAGCTAACTTTGACGGAAATAGCACGCGTGGCTCACGTGACGTCTATGTGGCCGTTAAATGTGACGTGGAATAATATATTGAATATTAAATGTTGACGTGGCACAAAAATATACTAATTTCCTCTAACTCACTCTCCCAAATCTCAAATCCCAAATTATGTTTCATTCACATAAACCTTAATTTTCCACACTTCACAATTTCAATCACCTCAACCCATTCCCAAATTTGCAATCAAATCTGCATTCTTGCTCGAACCCATACTAAAATCGAAGTCATAAACCCATAAAAAATCCAAACATTCTCACATTTGAAGAGTTTTTCCCTTCTCAAAGAACAACAGATTCACGTGCAAACACATGCGAGCTAATTGCAAATACCACCCCTGTGTTATCTCTAATTGTCAAATACCCCCCTGTGAAAAAAAAACTCACCAACACCCCCTTGTGTTAACAAAGTCAGAGCATCGAGACCCCTGGAGGCAAATCGTGTCACTCACTCGCGGATTGTGCGATTTTTAATAGTATTTTTAGGGTGAAATGTCATAAATACCCCTTTATAAAATAAAAAATAACCTTATTAGTTAAATTATGAATAACCTAAATTTATAGGACCAAATTGTAATTTTCAGAATTCAAAGTAATAATGTAAAAAATATTATATTTCATTAAAAAAAAAAAAAAAAAAAAAGAAAAAATCATTGTCTTCTTCCCGTTCCCCACCCCCAAACCCCCAACCCCAACACCACCATCTCATCTTCTACAATCCACATACCAGACCCGAATCCGCACAATCCGAGGGAAACCCAGCCCCAATTACAGTAATGCCTTATCTACAACATCTTCAAACGATTTTTCTCGACGGCGACGAGTTTGACGGCCGAACCTGCTAGGCCCAAAAATTGCATTTTTTTCTTTTTTCTTCTCTTGCTCGCCTTATCGCCGCCATCGTCGTCAAAATAGGAGATCGTGGGAAGGGTTGAGGCACGCGTAAATTTTATTGGTGCAAACTAAAAGTTCAAAGACGTTGTGGGCGACGGATCTGGAGAAGATGGTGGTGGTGGTGAAGGAGGGGTGAGATGGTGGTGAGCAGCAGCGGAGCAGAAGCCACGGCCGGGTGGAGAAATGATGCTGTGGCCTGTGAGTTGAGTGGTGCTATGGCCTGTGAGTTGTGTGGGAGGGGATGTCTGAAGAAGACGACCTTTTCTTTTTGTTTTTTTTTTTCATTTAATATAGAATGTAAAAAAAAAAAATAGAAAATATATAAAGACTTTTAATGTTACAGTATATATTTCATTATGATTTAAATATTTTTTTATTTAATATCTACAGAATAAAAAATATATAATATTATAAAATAAAAAAATATTTAATATTTATAAAATTATAATATGCTTTATTAATTGCTGAAAAACCCCATAAGGGTATTTTTGTAACTTTACCTTCAGTCAAAGTCTAAAATCACAAAGGGTGCAGTGTGCTTCGAAAATGTTAACACAAGGGGGTGTTGGTGAGTTTTTTTTTCACAGGGGGGTATTTGACAATTAGAGATAACACAGGGGTGGTATTTGCAATTAGCTCAAACACATGCCTGCAATCGAGAGGAAGAAGGTAAACGTGTGATTCTTCGTCTGTTGATGCTTGTGCCCCTTGTGGTCTCGATGAAGCGAGCACAAGGATGGTCAAGATGGCACAAATTCTACCCAACTCAACAGTTTCAGAATCTGCCCAGAAGGTGTTCGAAAAAATGACTGAAACAATTCCGGAAAAAAAAAACACGCACCTGTCAAAGCTGCATATAATTCTTTTTTGGCCAAGAATAGAGTGCCCAAGAACGGATTTCAATTCCCCGACTTCCCCAACGAAGTGGAAGAAGACATGAAATTTCAGTCCCAAGATGAAAGTGAAATCGAGGAAACATTCGGCATTTGTTTATTGGGTTATTTTGCTGGTAAAACACCAGGAAAACTGGCCATGGATTCACAGACGATTTCGCTTTTTTCGAATTTCACCTCAATTGAAAGATTCGAAATGGGGTTTTAAGGATTGGATTTACGGGTTCATTGGGGATATGGAGAATTAGGGATTTTAGAATAGAAATAGGGGAGGAGCATGACGTGTCGCTCCACATCACATTTAGTCGGCCAAGTAGGCACTGGGTGTTGTACAACTCGACATTTAACGGCCACATACACGTCACGTGAGCCACGCGTGCTATTTCCGTCGAAGTTAGCTGCCGACGTTAACGGCAGAACATAAAGTGATCAAAAGTGGCAAGTTTAAGGACATATTTCGTGGATTAAAATGTTTGAGGACATAAATCGTGTTAGTGGTAAAGTTTAGGGACATAAACTGTAATTTTTCCTAAGTTTTTTCGTCAAACTTAACCGTGTGTGTCAATTGTTATAACAATGCTATTAGAATTGATCGTCTTATTATATCTATCACAATTGTATGACTCATAAATCTTTTCTGCCTCAGTGATGACTAAATCAATTTATTTGCCAATTGACCTTTTCACTGAATTATCAGCAGAAATTTAATCCAACTTCTTTCAATACTATTACAAAAAGATCCCTAAAGAGGGTTAAAAGTGAAATTAATAAAATACCTAAACTGAACTCTGAACTATTAAAAAATTCGACAAAGAGACCCCAAATACTCTAGCTAATAGATGAGTTACTTCCATTTCAATTTCTAAGGTTGATTTTTTTATCACGAGCGGTACACAACCCAGACCGAAGGAGGCAAAGCCAATACTTCAAAAAACTCCTTTTTTCGTGATGCAAATATGCCTGATCAGCCAAACGATCTGCCACCGAGTTCTTCTGACCGAAAACGTGTTTGACGAAAGTGAAGCTATTCATTCGTCGAGTTATTGATTTTTAACATAACAATTCACTAATGCAGAAAAACCCAATTAATATTGATAAAATAATATAAGTAATATGTTCAAAGAAACATTGGTATTTTTTGGTGTTCAAATTAAATTATTAAAAACTACTATTTAAATCAGAACAAAATGCACTTTGTCCCCTAGGAAATTTTTAATTTTCGTACTTTCCCCCTTATAAATTTAAAAAAATACTCTCCCCCTTCCACATTTTATTGTAGTTGCACTTTGCCCCAATTGACACTTTCCGACGTATTTTAACCAGTATTGTCATTTCTCCATTCAGCTGAAAGGCAATTTTGTCCTCTTAGGTTATATACTTAATTATACACGGAAATCCCAAATATTTTGATTCTTTGTAAGACGCGATTATACAATTTAGGATTTCCAAAATTTTGGGTTGCATTTTTCTCTCCAAAATTAGGGTTATTCTTTTGTCCTAGTAAGCCAAAAGCTTTTGAACAAATGTAGGATTTATGTTTAATATTTCAATTGTTTGAGCTACGATTTATGGTTTTTTTTTAATTCCATTTTTTTGTGTTTCATACATGACCTCTATTCTTTATGTTCTTTCCATCTTTCCGTTTCGATCGAACTCATACTTTTTAAACCTATGGGATGGAATCACCGTAATAGATGGTAACTGAAGAAGAGATTGACGATTCTTAAAATTTGGGACCACAATATAATCTGTGCAATTTTTTTAGAGAAAAACCCTACTTTTTGTTCTGAAATACGTCTGTGTTTTTCGTCCAACTATATTATATTAGGATCTTGGGGGGAATGGTGAAAGGACTTAGATGCTCATTAAGTGAACAAAGAAATGACAATACCGGTGAGAAATATGCCGAAAAGTGTCAGTTATGGCAAAATGCAACTAAAATAAATTTAGAAGGGGAGAGTCTCATTTTATAATTAGCAGGCTGAAAAGTGTGAAAATGAAAAATTTCTAGGGGACAAAGTACATTTTATCCTTTAAATTATTAGGTTTCACATTAGCACCCTTTTTTTTTTGTTTACCGGAAAAACAATTTTATTAAAACAACCACAAGATAGATGTGATTTGTACAGTTTACAAACCTTACAAGATACTACTCATATTATTTATTCATACTTATTCAGACAAATGAAATACACAGGGAACCAACACAATAGCTTTATCCAAGACAATATGTCATTTAATAGTAAGAAGATTCTTATGATGAGGTTGTCATATTTAATCGATGTTCCACCAAAACTGCGCTTGAAGATAGTCAATAATGTTCTTCTCAACTTGGAACGCCTTTGTCAGAACAGCTGGATTAATTGATGGATCCGAACCAAACACTGCATTAGCAATAGTAATGACACCTGGATTTTGGCTGCTTAGACCAGCAAAGGCGACCGCATTGGTCTTTCCCACGTTGAATTGGAAATGAATCAAACCCTCTGGAAA